TATACAGTGAACATTTATCTCTCAAAGCCAAATTAGGTAAACACTAAAGACTACAGAACCTTAGTGAGTGAGCAGATTTCAGTTATAATCATCTAAATAAAGATCAGTAACTGGTTTTACCCTTGATTTGAATTACTTATTAACTAACTATACTTCCAGGTCTAGTTATTAAATATATTCATAATGAGTATGTAGACCTTTTTTTCCCACTTTTGACCCAGTTAATGCTACTGTCTCATCTGTTTTAATATATAAATTGATATTTAACAAATTCTTATATTTGATTCTTTTATTTGTTTTGTTTGGTAATCATTGCTGTGGTTTATTTTAAAGTAATTTTCCAGTTTTACACATTCCCCTTGTGCATTGTTCTTTTGTTTAGTTGTTTTCATCGTTGGCTTCCAATGGCCTCTCTGAAAAAAAACAAAAGTCTGCAGGTGGAGTATCTACTGTTACTCCCACCACTAGATATCGGCCTTAAAAAAACACAAAACAACCTGCATGCAGAGCGTTAACCGATCATGCACGTATACAGAAATCAGAAAAATCCTGCTAGAACGCTCAGTGAAAATCAGTTCAGCATTTAAAATAAACCAAAAAATGCTCAGTAGTGAAGAACTTACTTAACAACATTACTTCAGCTTGAAACAGTGCTATGCCACTTACAGAACGACACCTTATACTCTGGTAGCCTTTCTGCATAAGTAAGCAGCTGAAAATAAAACAAAAGACTCACCAGAGAAATCCCAGAACAGAATGCATATTCTATCCAGCTCAAAATAAACACATCTCTTCTGTATCACAGCAGCACTTATAAGTCGTAACTTCTCTACTTCTGCTGAAACGTGTTTCACCTACGTAGCCTGCCTTCTCTTTTTTTTTCCCTCCTCTCGTCTGCCTCACTCTCCTTCTCGTACCGACACAGGAAAAATGTGGTTCTGGCACCCTCTACTGTACAGGACATTCTAAGAACTAAGAAAACAAAGACATTAAACATACAGACAGATCAGCATAGTTTATGGGGGTTACACGTTTAACCACACATTTTTACTGCCACATATACGCTTGCCCTGATGGAACCAAGCGGGGCTGAGTTAAGAAAGAGCTTGGATAAGTTAACCCTGCTGAGCTTGGTTCTTACGACCATTTACACATCATGCTAGCACGGTTCCTCGCCTCCTATCGGTGGTCCATTATAATACAGCTGTCAAGGTGGGAATTAAGCTAACAAAAAAGGTGGTGCCCATAACCTTTGGGTGCCACCATTTGAAAATGGACAAGGCTGGACAAGGCGGAAAACCCGCGAAATGAGTCAGCCGACTGTAAATGGGAGATGACGTGGTCTGCTTATGCTCTCTTTGTTATCAGAGAACAGAGCCACAGTTGAACTTTGCCGAACCTTGCTGTTGAACAAGTAATAGATTTAGTGTGGTTCGGTTGTGTCTGGCACGGTCCATCTAAGTTGCACTCCATTTACACTCAACGGTTATCTCAGTTACGGTACTGGGCCTGTTCTTGGAACAGTTTCAAAAGGCTAGTATAAATGGGATGTATGTTTCACTATACTCCACTCACACGTTAAATATTGTGCTTTTTGGCTTTTCTGTTTTCTAAGTCACTGATAACATCACTGTAAGAGATCTAAAGGCCAACCTTGCTTAACACTGATCCCTGCCAACCCACTCTGACATCCTTCTTTCATGAAATATCTCAGGTAGTTCTTATTATTTTTATTAATTAGATCTTAGAAAACCTTTGTTCTTCATATACAACAGTCACAAGGACAGAGTAGGCTATCTTCAGAGCTACCTGAATCAGTTCAATGTTAATTAAGTTCATTCATATAGTGCCAATTCACAAGAAGTTATATAAAGCACTTTATGGAAACATTCAGTCAGATCATCCAGTCAGATTGCTTAAACATTTCTATCTAAAAAATAAACATCAGATTTCATCCAATCATGACTTCTCTTCCTTTGGCACATTCTTCTCCTTTGACTATTTCAGCTGATTTAATGAGTACATATCTCCACTGTGAGATCAATAAAGTCAATCAATTAAATTTTCACGCTTTGCCCCTCATTGATGAGAATGTGTTGACAGTAGACACTTGCCTACATCCTATAGCAATCCTTCACACAGAGCTTGCACACAGTGATAAAGGAGAGAAAAAAGTTCTGTCCATCTGGCTAGAAGTTTGATCTGATTTTGATAGAAGTACATGAAGAAATTAAAAGTCATCTGTGCTTTAGGATGATCTTTCATCTCTAAGGCCAGTAATCTCTTATAGGTAGTGTTGCATCGATACCGATACCAGTTTCGTGCCCGATACTGCACTAAAATGGTGATATCAGTAACGTCGAGTACCAACAAATAGGGCATACCATTTTGAGAGCCAAAAGTTTATTTAACTATTTTCATCCATTCCAGTTAGGCAATAAAAAGTTTTACTGGATTCACATTGTAATAGTCTGCTTCACAAAGGTAGGCAGCAGCTTGACAAAGCCATGATGGCAATTATTTTACATCCAAGTAGTATGCAGTTCTTTATATATACACACACACATCAATTTCAAACAGATGTAATGTGTATTGTATCGGTATCGGCCAATAAAGCACAGTCAGGGTTATTGTGAACTCGTTCATTCTGGTGTCTGTGAACGGCACGCTCTCTCAATTCAACTCCGTTCAATAGGTTGCCAGATTTCTATAGAGCCCTCCAGGCGAAACCCCGGCTAAATCAAGCCTTAATATGTAGCGGGAAAAACACCCAATCTGGCAACACCAGCTACCAGTGTCGTAGCCGCGTGCGTCATCAAAACAAAATGCAGCGTGGAAGCCACAGCAGCATGGAGGCGACCGTGGAGGCGACAAAGCAGCAGTATGATCACTTAAAAAAGTTTTATGACCAGGTGGTCGGTGAGGATGATGGCAACAATCTTACATTTCTCTGCAAACTTTGCCCGCCGGCTTTCAGTAAAAAAATCAGCACTTCAGTAACCTTAAATTCCTACCTCAGCCTGGTCCCTCAGTTTCTGTTAGTAAAATGTTCTTAAGGGTCTTACTATTCATGTAACTTGTTTTTTAAACCTGCCTGGTATAATTTTCCAGGATTCCTTTTTTAGTATGTACTGAAATGGAATTTTAAATTGACAAAATTATTAAAATTAAAAAAACATTTGCACCTTAAAGACTACTTTCCTGTTTTTCTTTTAATAATTCCTTATAAAAAAGACCATTCAAGCAGCACATTTTTCCTGATGTTTTCAAGAATATACTGTAGGGGTGAAAGCTGCAGCTGCTACTAGTGTGAAGTGAATGGACAGCAACAAAGTGTTAAAGCAACAATGGGGAAATGCTGTCCCCTCAATGCTAATGTAAACCCTGGTTGGATAAGGATTCAAAACTGGATATGAAGATGAAATCTGACGCACAGTTTCAGAGTTACAACTGATAAAATAATTGCTGTCTGTGGTTCTCCAGTAGGCTATGGTGTAATTGAGCAATAGATGAAAGAAAAAAAAGAACTATGAACTAGTTCATTTTTTGGAACTGTGAACTTAGTTAAAAAATTTGAATTATGAACTATGAACTGAACTAGTTCATTTTAAAATGTGTGAACTGAACTTTGAACTAGTTCACGTAGAAAGAGAACTTTCCCAAGACTGACTGTGAGCCACTGAGACAGAGAGAGCCTGCCTTGCTGTTTAGCCTGCCTGCTAAACTCCAGCTGGATGGAAACTCAACCAATGGAAATGGACAAAAAGCTTTGCAGGTCTGGCATAATTAGGGACATTTCATGTGTTTACTGATGAGTAACGACAAAGCTAATAGGATGGACTGGATGCTATGCTATGCTACAGGAATATTTTGTGAGCTACGTTGTTGAAGCTTGGACAAGCTTTACTTCACCAAGGGCTTAAACACTGATATAACATTAATGTTCATGTGTCCCTCAGATGCTCATTAAATTTCAATGACCAAGTATGATCAAGAGTCATTTAATGAAATCCTGATTTCTATTTGCTGCTAGCGTTTTTAAAGAGGGCAAAGAATCATTTGACAAAAGGTTATTGGTTCTTCATTAATGAAATCATTAAATAAAACACTATTTGGCCAAATAGTATTTTATTCACCTCATGGATTTGCATTGTGAATTGGTCTAAAAACATTCCAATTTCTCTAAATTAGTTAAAAGCTAATTTAAACACATCCCATATTCTTCCAGATAAACTTTGGTTTTCAAACACAAAATCCATCCTAAACTGTAATATTGTTTCCCCTTCCTCTTTGTACATAGCAGTTTAGTTTAGTTGAGTTTCACTAGTCTTAGTTAAGAGTTTTTAAACTGAAATATGTTTGACTTGGAGCTGAATGATTTTTGTTAATAAATAATTATATTTTCAACAGAAGTTGTGTTGAATTTATTCCATATATGTGCAGAATTAACTGTTTGACCATGATTAGAGCTTGAATCACATTTTCATTTATTGTTCTAACACCCAGCTAGAAGGGCGTGTGTTCATAAATAATATATCATCCGAAATGATGTCTGATTATTAATGATTATTAAAGTGACATCCAACCGGATGAGCATTGAACATAAAATCACAACAATAAATACCAATGCAAAAAATTCAAACTTAATCATTCAAGTGTATTTGTTGATGTGTTTAATGAAAAACATAATCTTTATCACAACCCACTGAAACATATTTTGCCCTGGAAAATCCTTTAAGATTTTGTCTTCTTTTTGTTGATTTTCTTCAACATAAATGATCATTTTAAAATTATAAAAGAAAAACTGTTTTACATCATAAAATTTTGTGTAAAAAATATACATTATGTATGGCTTCTGCTTGGTTTAATTCACTGGTGAGAGAGGGCTGCAAAAAATTGCTAGCAGTGGTTTAATGTTGTATTTGTCACAGCAGGGGAGGGAGTTCATCCTCACTCGCTCGCTTTCTTTCTTTTGCTCTCTGTCGCTCCCTTTCCCCACTCTCTCTCTCTCTCTCTCTCTCCCTCACACACACACATACACACACACACGCACAGCTTCTTTAGCATCGTCAGACTCATGACTTGTAAATCAACCCGTTTCATGCTCCTCAGTTCTTCTGAGCCACTTGGAGGGAGGATTTGTGGAACAGCTCCAGCAAGAGGTGAGTCATCTCTTATCTCCGTCTTTTCATTAATGAATTTCTATGACTGATTTATTACTTCAGATGTGTGAAATGCACTGTGTTTAAGACAGTCACGAGAAGATGCAGGTATAAGGCAGATACACTCACACGTATATCCTTAACTGTTATCATCATGATTCGCATTACTATTTTGATGTCATTTTGAACTTTCCCTTGACAAACTGCAGGGTTCACTCACAATGTGTGGTAAACCTATTTTCTGAAATCAGCTCTCCCATGCACATCAGTTGCTGGGATTCATTTATAGAGAGATTTTATCTCTAGTTGGGGCTGAAATAAAACAGGTTCAGCTTCATATGCCCATCCATTCATCCATTTTCCATCATGCTTATCCCAAGCGGGCTCTCGAGGGGTGCTGGTGCCTAGCTCCACCTGTCTACAGGTGAGAGGCAGGGTACACCCTGGACAGGTCGCCAGTCCATCCCAGGGCAACAGCTTCATTAGTTAATTTAGTAATCTCAGAACCTATATATCTAATACATTTTTAAAAGGGGAACAATTCATCACTTACATATGCACAAACAAAATGTTTATTGCTTATTTGTAGTAAAATATTAGGGAATACATTCAAAAGACTGTTAAAGCATTACAGAGATACCGCCTCCCGGTCAGCTACTGTCCTACATCAAACTGATACAGAAACCCAGCAGCACTGTTCAATCCGTAAGCATGCAGATAAGCTTCTCATGCTCAAGTTCCTATAGCTACATTGTCGTTGGAGTTCCTCTTGTTTCAAGCAGTGTGTTGCAAAGAAATGTTGTACAGTATAGATTCCTTTTTAGGCAAGTTGGTAGATGTCACTTCCTGAAAAGGTCAACAGCAAGCATTATAAAGACTTGCTAAATTCCCCTTTTTTAAGAAAGAAAATGATTGTACTTGTAAAAGATCAGCCTCAACAAGCTACTGTTATTGTGAGAGTGGATTAAGATCTGGCTTCTGCTAAACACATCTACCACTGAGGGAAATACACTAGACAATATCTGCGTTTATCTTTTGGTTTGTTTTGTGCTTTCCAGTATAACCAGCCCATTTCTCCTGAATGCTTTGTGGGGGATGTCTGTTGTCACATAGTGAATCTCAACAGTAAGTCAATAATGGCAAATGGCTTGAAGAAAACTGATTAAAAAACAGGGCCATTATTTTACTCATATTATTTGTGTGGCATAAAAAAAAGGCAATTCTCAGCAGGGCGAAGCAGTATGAGCATATCTAATCAGTGAAATCAAATATCATTATGCCTCTTCCTTTAAAGGCACACAGTGGCATTTTATGTATACATAAAAATTAACAAATATGATATATTCATCCTACAATACATGTTTTTTTTTTCTCACCCGTCTAGGCGTAAAATATGTCTTTCCCTTTTTTTTGCATTTGTTTGGAATTTTCTTGTTACACATTTGCTGAGCTTTTTTGCCTTTACAATAGAGCACCTACACCTACAGTTAGTAGTAAATGCAGAGCACAAAGCTATGTCTAGAGAAAAGGGACGCCGTCAAAATCTAGCCTGGACAGCCAGAGTGTATCAGTCTGGTAGGGCTTGATTTTAAAGGCGAGAGTAACAGGATCAGCGTCATTAGGTTAGAACCATTCAGATAACTAAGGATGTGATGGAAAAACTCCAAGTGACACACTTTGTTTTTGTAGTTTTTAGTCCATGAAACATGTCAACCCATCGAAAAAACTCTCCAGTGAATGATTTCGGCTTTTAATTTCTTCTTTTGCCTATAAACTCTAAGGCCAACAACTGAATATCTTGCTCCATGACTGACATAAACTGTGCTATTCCACCCACAAAGATCATCTGCCTTTGGAAAAACAGCTTGTTTCTATCAAGACTATCAGACAGTGGAAACAGCTCCAAGACAGTCGGAAACTAGCCGTAGACATAAACCTGTTCTCTAATAATCTGAAAAAAGATATTCTTGCTCACCAACTGTGACAGCATCAGTCCAGATAATCTATAAACAATTTCGTCATTGACTGTACATTTATATTTATAGTATTTCTTAGTATTTCAGACTGAACGTAGTTTGTTCTGTAATGTGTTTTTTAAATGTATGTAATTACCTAAAGGGCTACGGATGAAAACTAGCAATAGCCTGAACAAGATATCTCTTATTCTTTACACTGTCCCTGATAAATAAACAAAAACCAAAAAAACAAACAAACAAAAAAAAAAACAATAAACATTACGTTCACAGTAAATTGCTGGTCAAATGTAGAACGATATACAATTCAAATTGTAAATTATAGTAAACTTGTACTTTAATTTCACCTTACAATATGTAGAAGTATCTAGCCTTATTGTTACGATGTATGGCACAATGCCTTAATTCCCTAGTAATGTATGAATGTATGTATGTTGTGCTTTTACAACATTTAATTGTAATTTCACAAATATGAAGTTACACTAAATTGCTGAGTATGTTTCACAGTACATTGCTGATCTCTTAACTGTGAAAGTCATGCAAATTCAAATATTTATTGTAAATTCAAAGCAAAATGTTTATGGTGCAATGATGCCAGCAGCCAAGCTGATGCCTCCCTCTATAAGGAGAGTGTCACAGTTAAAAAGAGCGCCAGGCCAGATGAAGCTATTACAGAGAGAAAAATCAGGGGAAAAAAAGGTTAGAAATAACTAATAAAGCAGAACTGGACTGGATTATTCAGTGAGGAATATAGATCGTATTTTTGTAACACACCACACCTTGTATGTGCTTAACCGTTTTGCAAATCTAGTGTCGGCAATCAATACCAAATTTTTATACATTTTACTGCTCTAATCAAAGAGTAATAAAAGACTGATTATTATACTTACGTTGTTCTGTATAGAAAGAGAAACGAAAAATACTGCCTAATATTTTATGTTTGTGATATTGTACCGCTAGCAACCTTTTAAAAGCACATCTGACTGAGTTGTATTTACTGTTGTCTGTTCCACTGTCACATCATCGGAATTAGTCACATCATAAGGTCTACTGCATATTGAGATCACTGTGTGGTGGATCAGGCTGATCAGAAAGGGAGGCTAATAACAGTCACAATCCTCTCTGTATAAAAGTTTATCAAGAGAATTAAAATCTGACAAAAAATTAGCAAATCAATTATATGAGCTGTAATATGAATATGAAATATTCCTGTCAAAAACTGATTTCAATACTTCCTCCAATGTGGTAACATTGTAAATTTTTGTCGAATTAACAACATTTTAAAATATGTTTTTTAAAGGACATTTTAATTGAATAAAGTGCTTCTAGATTCTGTGGATGTGCTTAATAAAGCCTATTTCTAACTGGACACTTTTAATTAAGTGTTGAATTTTAATGAGATGTTAATCAGTTCAGTGCTGTGGTTCATCTCAGCTTCACTCTGTCATTCTGCTGGGCTCTGCCTCTCTTACTGAATACGTGTACATTTAAAACTTACCTAAGTTAGACATATTACATGAGAGGCTCGAGACAAACATCCATTTGTAGATCATCTGATAATAATGAGTTGTTTTTTTGAAGAGTGTTTTGATTTATTTCCTTTGTGTGTGTTCTCATTATAGGAACAAATATCATTGTTGTTATTGTCAAAATCATTGAAAAAAATAAAGGTAGATCCTCTGAACATAATGGGTTAACCTGTTTTTAAAGGTCTCCAGCAGAGAAAATTGGTAGTCTGTTCTCTTTTGAAGTGTGAACATGTCCCGCTGAGCATTTTGGGACTGAAAGGATATTTTTAATATTTTCCTGCAAATTCAATTTTGCATCCTCTTTGAAACCAACTGTTGAAAATTTAAAGATTTTGCTGACAACCAAATGTAGTTATGTGACTCATGGTCTTTCATGTTTTGTCAACTGATCAGTTGGTTTCAACTGATCTGTGCAAAAGATCAGAACAACAATTACCTAAGGTATTGATTATTAACTTATTACAGCTTAAAGGCATTGTGTAGGATTTTTTAAAATACCTCCACTTAAAAAAAAAATGTACGTGCAAAAACATGCACAAGCCCATTTCTCCTCACGAAACCCCTGTTTAAAATGTACTGTTCTCATAGCTCATACAAGCTTACTGTGTCCACATAGAGCTGGGACTATACAGTGGACTTTATAGCAAACTCAGTTAACTGACTGTTTAGACAGATGATCACTGCTTTTTGCTCCGTTGGTCACGTAACTCCTCCTCATACCTGTGCCATCTTAGTTATTAGTTGCCACTCTCGGGTAGCGACAGCCTATGGGGACAGCAGGCCGCTGTGACAGCAAATCCCATAGTGCATTACGAGGAGAGCTCTGTTATGACCCTCTGTCATTTCCAAAGAGCCGCGGGGAGAAAGGTGAGTTCCAATGACTGTCTGAAACCTTAGCTCACCACACATACAGTATATGCCTGAAAGTGCGCATGCGCAGAAAAAGATATCTAATGGGGCAAGCATGTAGAATGGCTTTACGTAAACATATCACCAGGATGATTGACAATTAGGAGGACCACTTATTTAGACTTTACCTTTTAACTTCCGAGGCGCCTGCTCCAATCTCTATCTGCCTCTGGTTGGCAAAGGAGCTCCCTGCTGTGTTTGTTTAGATAATGAAAAGAGATTAAGCATTTCCAGAAAAATCTGGCAGTTTGTTTTTTAAGGAAAATTGTAGCTAGACAGCAATTCAATTCAGATACATGGCTGACTTATAAAACTCCGGTTGGTGCTCAGATCATGGTTGCATTTTTCTGCTGTTTGCTGTAAATAAGGTTTCATCACTTAATTTTTATAATTTTGTTCAAGTTTGAGCAAACTTCTTTTAGCAAGGCCCACAAACTGGATCATTGTTGCCCAATTCCCATTTCAATGCCCATTTCATATACGTTTGCCTGCATGTGATCATTTCTCCAGCAACTGATGAATAGAATTTTAACGTTTGTTACAATTAAAATATACAAGCATGCTTAGTGTGAGGGATTATATTTGAGTC